ATGGAAAGGCTTTAGATTTTATTTTAAGGGTAACAACCTATTAGAGCAGTGGTTCTCACCCTTCCTAATGCCGCGACTCTTTAATACAGTTCCTCATGTTGTGGTGAGCCCCAACCATAAAATTATTTTCGTTGCTACTTCGTAACTGTAATTTTGCTACTGTTATGAATCATAATGTAAATATCTGATATGCAGGATGTATTTTCAGGGGTTGCGACCCACAGGTTGAGAACCGCTGATCTAGGAGCCCATTTGGCCTAGGGAACTTAGAACTCAAATATTAGAATACAAAAATATCTCCTGCTTGGAAATTACATGTGGCACTAATTCTTCTGAAGAGGCTGGGAGGAACGCTATGCTCCTTTGATGGGATGTTTCTGTGTTCACCAGTACCCTTAAAAAGAAAATGTTAGTTGGGGTTACTTAACTAAAATGTCAATGATAATACATAGTTCATCATCCTGCTAAGATGTACCCATCATAGTTTCTTTCCTTTAAATAACAAGGACACAATTAGAAATAAGAAGTGATTTTTCTTTGCCATTAAAGTGGTGAAATGTATTTTAGGTGTAGGATTTAACTGTGTAATGCAAAGTTTTGTAAAACATCTGAAACAGTGAACAAAATATTTCTAAAAGCCTTTAAAAAATAAGAATACTCCATTAAATGCCCAAACTTACAGAACCCGGCCTTGGATAAGGAACTTTCCCTTCATAGAGTGACCAGTGGTATTCAGGTCCTTCCTTATGTGCATATGGTCCGTTAAAAGCTGCCCGGATGCTAGACATATGATAGACACATATAGCATGTCCTCGAAAGATATTGCTGAAAAAAAAAAGATGATTACTATTATGGAACCAGGAGGTCACCTAGTCAAACCCTCTAGACTACATAGATAAGAATGAAGTCTTTGGGTAAGAAATGTCAATCACTTAAGCATAGAATATTCTAGAAATATTTACTATTGCAATATTTCAAGTATTAAAACTCTAAAACTTAATATTTCTATGCTTATTTTTATAATAAATTGAAAATGACATTGTTAGAATCATAAAAGTACAGAGTTGTGTCACTTCACTTTGTTATTATTAAATTTTATATTTTGTTTTATCATTTTTATTAAGAAAGATAATTCTTTATTTTAATATTTAAAAGATTAATATTTTTAAGTTAATATTTTAAAAGATTCATTCCCAAGTTGAATTATTCATTTTAAGGTTTCATATCCTTGTATGTTATTCCATATTCCAAAACAACGCTAGAGTAGAAAGATGACTGGACTAAACTAGATTAATTTGTAGAAAATTATTTAAATTATATAGAGCCCAGATTCTTTACCTTCAAAACTAGCAGCAATTGAAATTATTTTATAGATAAAAATTTCTACTTGCAAGGCATAATGATAACAGCTGACTAACTATGACAAGGTTTACTGGGGGCACATGTAACAAAATTCAACAAAAGCACATTTTTAGATGATGTGCTTTAAAAGTCTGGCCCTTTTCTTAGTTTGCATGACCCACATGAATTCTCACATTTCCCCAGCCCCTTCATTGTGAGAATCAAAATAATGTTTGTGAAAGTGCTTTGCAAGATGCAAAGTTCTTTATAAATAGAAAAGTTCCTACACTCTGAGACACCTGCAGAACAGCAGTTATGTTACTGTCTCAGGACATCAATTCACACATTTTATAACACACCTTGAAGCAATTGGAAATGCCTATGATAGTGAGAAAAACAGAGATAGTCTCCCAACTCATGTGGCAATAAACCTTTGATCGCCATGCTACGAATATCAACGCATACGTTAGGTAACAGCTGGGAAATCATTTTCTTTGATTTATGTATTTATTGAATAGTCAACATTGAAATTATGGGAGAAAATAATATCTTATCTTTGAAATATAGACAGATCTATTGTGTTATCATTTAGGAAAGTAGCTTACAAACTGATCATACTAAATCATAGAAAACTATACTGATTATTCTATAGTTTGCATTTATCACATAAAGCCAGGAAATAATCATGCAATGCATAAATTCTGCACTAGCTTAAGGGAGAAGATGAAGTTTTAAAAAGTTATGAATTTTCTATGGGCTGTGATAGCTACCGATCTATATTAACCACTTTTCTTTGCACCAAGGAACAATTGATAGCAAAATTGTTTCCATGTTTCTCTGTTGAAGAAAAGGTCTCCTTACAATAGCAGGAAATTTGTCCAAAGATCTTTACTATTTTTTTTTTCAAAGCGAGCACATGAAATCACCTGCTAAAAACTAAATGGAAGCTTTGCAGAGAGACACTAAGCAAGTAAGTTAAACATGATTAGATCTCAGTTTAAGGCAAATGCAATGCAAAAAAAGAAACTATAAGTTATATCATCCGATCCCTTTCTGGAGAATTGAGGTGTAGTCTTTATTTCTCATTCTAGTCATCTTACCTACACTCTGCCTTATTTGGAAAGACACTTGGAAAATTATAGATGAACTTTTAACCAAAATGATTCTAATATTTTTTCATGCATGTATCAGCATGTGTGAACAACTATTTGATTCATTTTCCCAGCACTCTTCAAATCATACAAAATATAAAAACATAAAAAAGAAAAATAATAGATTATAAGCCCTAAACATGAGCAGCTTATTTAAACTAAAATATAGAGGGCAAATTTCAAACGTGTTCTCTGTGACTCTACATAGAAGTAGGACAACCAGAGTAAAGGGTGAATAACGTGCTTTGTGATCAAGTAAAAAGGACTATTTCTTTTTTAAAAAAATATGTTTTTATTGATTTTAGAGAGATTTGAAGGGAGAAGGAGAGAGAGAGAAACTTTTATGTGTGAGAGAAACATTGATTGGCTGCTTCCTGCACGCACCCTATTGAGGATCAAACCAGCAATTCAGGCATGTGCCCTGACTAGAAATTAAACCAGTGACCGTTTGGTGCATGGGACAAAGCTTAACCAACTGAGCCATACTGGCCAGGGCACAAGGACTCTTTCTTGAAGGTGAAAATGGACAAGGATTGAAAGAGAAAGTTGTTTGAAGCAAGAGAAGTGGATAAATAAAACCCTATGACGGGAACTAATAAAGTAGACACTGGGATTCTGTCAAAGTAGCATCAGAGAGCTTGGAGAAAAGAGTTCCAAAGCTGAGTGGGTAACAGTTGATAGAGAGCTTTGAAAGTCTTTCATGGAAGATTTTATATGACAATTAAAAGAACGATTCTATTTGTTTCCTTGCCATTGGAATCAAATTCACAAAGAAGTCAGACAGAAAAAGACAAAAACCATATGAGGTCACTCACGTGGAACAAAAAAGAAACAAATGAACAAACAATGAGTTGAAAACAAACTCATAGATATAGATAACCAAATAGTGGGTACCAGAGGGAAAGGGGAGAGTAGGGCAAACTGGGTAAAGGGGGTCAAATATGGTGATGGGTGAAAATTAGACTTTTGGTATTGAGCACATTGTAATGCATACAGATATTGAATTATAATGGGGTATACCGGAAACTTACATGCTATTATTAACCAATGATACCTCAATAAAAATGTATCCTAGACTTTATAGCAGCGGTTCTCAATCTGTGGGTCACGACCCCTTTGGGGGTTGAACAACCCTTTCACAGGGGTCGCCTAAGACCATCGGAAAACACATATATAATTACATATTGTTTTTGTGATTAATCACTATGCTTTAATTATGTTCAATTTGTAACAATGAAATTGGGCGTCACCACAACATGAGGAACTGTATTAAAGGGTCCTGGCATTAGGAAGGTTGAGAACCACTGCTCTATAGCATGGGACTCATATCTTATAAACTATGTGAGGAAAACACTTCGCTGTGGATCAGAGAGGGAAACAATTAGGATACTGTGCATAGGAAGATACTGGGATACTTCAAACAAAAACTAGTAAGGATCTGCCCTGGCTGGTTGGCGCAGTGGATAGAGCGTTGGCCTGTGTACTAAAGGGTGCTGGGTCCGGTTGCAGGCTCCTCCCGGACCTAGGCCCTGGTCGGGGCTCGTGCAGGAGACAACCAATAGATGTGTTTCTCTCACATTGGTATTTCTCTCTGTCTTTCCCTCTCTCTCTCCCATTCTCTCTAAAAAGAAATGAAAAAAACATCCTCAGGTGAGGATTAAAAAACAAATCAGGATCTGGATTGAGACAGTGGCTTTAAAAATGAAAGAACAATTGTAAACAGAGGATAACAAAGAGAAATGAGAAAGACAACAGGTCAATCGTATTTCCATGTAAGATACACAGCAAAGAGGAAGGCACATTGCGTTTCAGAATGCTTCTATTGGCCACACAGATTTCTCACCTGGTAGTGTTGAAGAGTCCAAATATCAGTGGGTTCTTATGATCTCTGGTATGCAGCAGAAAAACATCCTCTGAAAAATAAAAGATCATTAAATTACTTAGTATTTTTAGTCGTCTTTACATGTAAAGAAAATCTTTATAGATTGTATGATATAAATTTTCATGTACGGCCATACAGCAATGACCAAATCCCAACAGAGTGAAACGCTTGGCTGTTCAGCATGACTTTGAGCTGAGCTTCAAGGAAGGGCTAAGCAGTGCTACCTCGCTAATGAGAGGGTCTCTCTTTGGTCCTGTAACTCTGTAGAGCTGGCCAAAATGAAAAGAACAGAAACGTGCCCCTAGATGGTTTTCTCTATGGTTAGAGTATCAGCCTTTGGACCAAAGGGTCATGGGTTTGATTCCCAGACAAGGGCATGTACCTCAGTTGCAGGCTCATTCACTGGCCTGGGTCAGGGTCAGGGTCAGGGCACATGTGGAAGGCGACCAACTGATGTAACCCTCTCATCTCTCACATCGATGTTTCTCTCTCCCCACCTCCTCCCTCCCTTCCACTCTCTCTAATAATCTATGGAAAAATATCCTCAGGTGAAGATTTAAAATAAATAAAAAAGAACAGAAAGTTGCTCTCAGATAGAAGTCAAACACTGCAGACTTTTCATCTGTGCTAGAGACAGTGAGGGTTATAGAGCGGCATATACATCAATGAGTTAAATTTAATTCTCCCAATATTTACCTAGTTCGTCAAAATATGTATCAATTCCATTCAGTCCTGGTACTGAGCAAACCAGTCTCGCTTTTAGGAAAGTGCTCCACTTATTCACCAGTATTCTCTGGCCTCCCACATCATTCTGTGAAAAAAGCAAAACAAGCAGGTAAGTGGGTACCTGAAGAGCTTTTAGCAACAACAGATTTTGCATTATTAAACAAACCTATACATTTTTCCTTTACTGTGGAAAATTTAGCATAAATTTCAAATAACAGATGCAATTCCCCATTATACATTTTTTTTAGGTTTGTACCTTCTATCTGGTCAGTGTAGTTTCACTCTAGTCCTTTAAATATACTTTATAAGTATTAAACAATGTTAATAGAGTGGTCTCTCCTACATAAAATAGTGGCTTTTATAGTACAGTAATCTTTATTATTTTATTGAGAAATAAACAACTTATCACATAAACATAGAAGCATACATTCCTTTCTCTCCTTTAAAAATGAGAACTTCAAATATACACACATAAACACAAACACATAATATATAATATATATTTGTGCACACATACATCATGTGTATACAATGACATATATACAAATCTCTTCTTAAAAATACTCATTAACTATCTTCTTAAATATCAGAGTACCTTCACATGTGCAATATTATTAGCATTGTCTCAATATATACTGCTACTTCAATTGATTTTAAATGTTCTCAACCTATTTGAATATCCAACAAACTACAGATTTTTTTTTCCTACAGAATCAACCAACTGCATGGTTGAAACATACTTATGTAAATTGCTTAGAATGTAGACTAAGAAAATTAAAAATACTTTGCTTAAATTATTTTTTTAAAATGGAGCTCAAACTTCCACGAGACAAGAAGTACAGCTTAATTACAGACTATTTCTTTAGTATTGCTTTGAAAATGGGGAAATTATACAAAATGCAAAGCTCTCCTAAGAGAAAACTTTCACTAACTGAAAAATAAAGATTAGATTGTAAATATAAATTTTAGGCAGCCCACAGAATGGTGGAATACATTTTAAAGTAGAAACCTACTATACCATTAACAAAGCCCTGACCATAAATTGAGATAAGCAAGCTTAATGAGAGAGAAATGCATTTCGTACCATGCAAAGTCGCCCCACTCTGGTGTAAATTGCATGGGCATTGTTTTCTGCCTCCAGGGCCTTCTCAGTAAAAAAGAAATACACTTTGTTGTCATCTCGATCTTCATTGTCAGGAATCATATATGAACCTACAAATTTTGGTTCTATAGAAGGAAAAAATAAAAGAAAATTGAAATAGTCATTACAACTAAATAAGTTATTTTAATCAATAATATATCACATGAAAGCTTCAGTTTAACATTCATTATTTATGAAGAAATGAAATATTTTCCTTAAAATTTTATATTAAACACTAAAAATCATGAAGATATTTCCATTTTATTTGCAATAAATTGTGTTTTTTTTTTTTAAATTAGAGGACAATTTAATTGGAAAATAAAAGAGTCAAGGTGAAGAAAAATTAGAACACCATACATTATAGACTTGAAATGCATTCAAAGGACAGATTGGAGGCAGCATGATGGTAGTCTCCATAAATAATTTATTCCCAGACATAAAAAGTGAATGTAAATATATGTAAATATTTTAGTAAATAAGTCTTTTCTTAAATTGATGAATTATATAGTAGTCTAGTTCATGGAAGACCATATTAATGCTAAGATAGAAAATTTGAGTTTTTGTGGTTGTGGTCTAAAAGGTGTGAGTGAATTGCCCGGTTGGCATGGCTCAGTGGTTGAGCATAAACTTATGAACCAGGAGGTCACGGTTCAATTCCCAGACAGGACACATGCACAGGTCGCAGGTTCGATCCCCAGTGCGGGAGGTAGCTGATCAATAATTTTCTCTCATCGTTGATGTTTCTATTTCTCTCCCCCTCTCCCTCTCCCGTCCTCTCTGAAATCAATAAAATAAATAAATAAAAATAAAAGATGTGAGTGAATTTTGATTGATATGGTAGGTCAAATATTTTAATAACATAGTGCTAATAATAATATGCACTTTAAACCATAATAAAAAAACTGAAAACAATGAAAACGCTCATCATAAAATGACATTTTAACCCCTGGGCGTACCACTGTGCCAAAATATTCCTTACAAATAATTATGTGTGAATGAATGGCTAATGATCTTCCTAACTTTTTGTTTCTCTCTAAAGTGCAATATAATCCAATTAAAACAAACAAAGCAATCAAGTCATCCAAAAGGATACCAATTGATAAAACAACTTATTGGGTAAAAGATTTTACTTTTCATATATCTGCTTTGTTTTCTCCATTTCAATCCTGATTTCTAAACACTGTTATAAATGTAATACAGATTTATAATAAAGGCAAATCATTCTGATATAAAACAATTTACACATATCATCCTACATAGCAAAAAGGTAATATGCAAATTAACCCTCACACTCTCACAAGATGGCTGCCTACAAGCAGGTCAGCAGGGGGGTTCGTGTGTGGGGTGACCAGGCCAGTGAGGGGGTGGGGGGAACAGTTAGGGGTGACCAGGCAGGCAGGTGAGCAATTAGGAACCAGTGGTCCAGGATTGTGAGAGGATGCCGGCAGTCAGACATCCCCCAAGGGGTCCCGGATTGGAGAGGATGCAGGCTGGGCTGAGGTGACCCCCTACCCCCCTGCATGAATTTCGTGCACCAGGCCTCTAGTATATAATATTTTAGTTCACAAATATCGCTGGTTTAAGAAATCCTAAATTGTAAAACCCCTAAAGTTTATAAATTACATTTGGAGTTATTTTCATCACAATTGTGTTCAATTCCGATGGACATACTCTTTTCTCCTCGAACCTACCTTTCAACAGGCGCTCGTCATCATGCTCGGTGCGGATGTGGGCCAGTCGCCCCATGCCCCGGAAGATGGCAGCGTCTCGGCCCCAGTAGTCGCTGTAGAGTCCAGTAAACAGTTCACTGCCTACGTGGAGACATCGGTGAAAAAGAGTCAGTGCTGTTTCTGGATCTGAGGGCCGTGTGTAAGCCCCAATTACATGAAACCACATCTAGGTTTACTATGCATACAACCTTATGAAATTATTGTTCTTGTTAAGGGCATGCATGGTATAGTCAGTCTGTCAGTTTCAATCCTGACTCTGCCACTTACCAGCTGTGTGAGCTTGGGTAAGTTGTGTAACCTCTCAGTTTCCTCATTTATAAATGAAAACACTCAAAAGGGTTAAAAGTAAAGAACTTAAAAGAGTAACTGGCACATGTTCAGACCTGCATAAGCATTTCATAAATAACCTGGTTTGATCTTATTTTACTAACCTTCTTTTAACCTTCAGATCATCAGGTTATTATGTTATTTATTATGATGATGATTATTATTGGTATTCTATGTGAGTCAGCTAACTCAAATCCATTTTGTAACAAGAAACTGTTTCCATCAACATGATTTTAATGTGGAAACCGCCAAGTCTGACAAAGTTGTATATTATCCAACTAGTTGTCATTTAATTTGTAAGTTTGTTGCTTAGATAGTAAAGCTATGGAGTTCATAATTTAATTGATCAGTCAACATAATGGATGAAGTTAGCTGTGACATGTGGTGGAGGTTGCAGACTTAAAATCAGACTGAGGAATACATAAACGTAGGCAGTATCTCAAGAAGTGACAATGTGTCTTTGGAGGTAGCAGGAAAGAAAGATATTCAAATAGCTTATGAGACGAGAAAGAAAAGGTTCAACAACTAGAAAAATAACATAAGGATATAACTGGAACCCCGGAAAGACCACACCTTTCCAGCCTAAGCACTGGGAGTCCTCTTTTGCCAAAGTTACAACAAAAGGTAGTCCGTGTGCCCTTCACTGATGCCAGGGGATTGGTCTGGGCCTCTGCAACTGATGCCCTTAATCTCTGATTAAGAAGCAACTGATAGCAGATCATTGGAAATAGCCACCTCAATTTAGGGTGCTAAAATTGTTTTCTTAATGAGTGTCATATAACTGTGGTCAAGCATAAAAACACAGAGATGATGAATACACTACACTTAAAGTATTAATGCTTTTCTGTTAAATTTGGAATGTGTACACATGGCATATAAATTTAACAGAATTTAAATGAACTCTATTTCCAGCTTCATATATGTTAGCTGTATACTCAATTTTAGAATTTGGATTATTTAAGGAACAGGTACAAAAAATTGACCCAAGTATGTAAACAAAGTTTGAAAGAACTTGAGTGTCACATTTATAAGTTTTACAATAAAATTTACATAATGTAAAATTTACATTATTTTCAAGGTGAATCCTTTAAAACTTTAAAAAACTTAAATGGCTTAAATATATTTGTAAGATTTGAAAAGTAATCAACTAAGTTATAAATGGGACACTTTGTAAGGCAATTCATTTTCAAGTTGAGTTAACTAATATACTCTTTTAAAAAAATAAAGATTTTTGTTATACCAGATTTAGAAATAGAATAATGAGATATAAATTGAATTCAAAGACTTAAGACAAATACGTTTTTATAAATGTAATTATAATAAACAGTTTCATTTACAAAAAGGAAAAGTAACTCTGTTTTACTGTTCTCAAAATTCACTATGGATACTTAAAAACTATATAGAATATAAATACACGCTCCTCACAAAGAAATTTACTTTTAAACTATACATACAATTTAAAAGAAAGAGAGAGAGAGAGAGAAGCAACTGGGGTAGAACATTAATAATTAATAAATCAAGGTAAATGGTACACAGGTATAAACCTTATTCTCTTCCAATTTTTCTTTGTATTTAAATTTTTTCAAGATAACAAGTTTCATAAAATAGCTATACTAATTGAGTTTACCCTGTATGCTGAGAGGTGTTTAAGAAAAATAAGAAAAAGTGAAAAACAAAGATGCTTTACATCTAGACTTAAGAAAATATAAATTGATAAGAGAAAATTCTATCAAAATTATTTAGTCCTGGCTGGTGTTGCTGAGTGGTTAGAGCATTGGCCTGTGCTCTGCAGGGTCAAGGGTTCAATTCCTAGTCATGAGCTCCATTCTTGAGTCGCAGGTTAATCTCCAACCCCACTTGGGGCACCTGCAGAAGATAACCAGTCAATGTGTCCTGGCTGGTGTTGCTCTCTCTTCCTCTCTCTCGCTCCCTCTCTCTCTCTCTCTCTCTCTCCTCCAACCTTCCTCCCTCCCTTCCACTCTCTCTACAAATCAATGGAAAAAATATCCTTGGGTGAGGATTAACAACAACAACAAAAAGAAAACCCCGACTCTCTTAAACATATTCTTTGGTAATAGAAGGAGGAAGTAAGCAACATAATCTATGTCAAAGTAACTAGTGCTGTTTTCACCTGAAATTTTAAATCCAAAAGTGAAGAGAAAGTATTTTGAGATAAAATGCATTCAGTGGTGAGGGATATGAAGCACACGTGGGATTCTGCACTCCTTGAACGTGGATAAGAGTCATGCTGAATTCATTAAAAGGCCTTGGGCATCATCATCTTTATGGCATTAATGAATGAGTTGGCCATAAAAGAGTTAACTATTGAACCTCTAGAGTGAGAATTTTTTTGATGTAGCTTGTTTCTAATTATTATATTTGATTACATTTCTCATCTAAAAATAAATAGGCCATTTTCTAAAATTTTCCTAAATGTCACTTATTTTTCTAATATAGACTGGGCTGAATGTTTAATGTATAAGGAGGACAAGCTTTCTTAAAAATCATGAGTTTTCTATTTCATAAGTTTTAAATATTTAATTCCCTAAAATATTCCTAGAACTTTCATACCTGAAATTGTTATTATTATGGGAAACTAATCTTTATATTAGTTCTCGTCAATTTTATTGTACTCCGCTCAATTTCGGACATTGTTTCAAAGTTCTACTTTGAAAAAAAATTAAGTAAATTCCATAAAGTTAACAAACAAGTACCTCTAAGAGCCACTAGATGGCAACCCTATGATACCAAAAAAATACTATATTCAGGGCAGGTTTTCTGCACAAAGGAATAAAAGATGATATATTACCACTTTTACCCAATTTCCCTTTTTTGTATCCAGATAAAGAAAATAGTTTGTGAACAACTCGAATAACACAATATGAACTGTATGACTTAAACTTCAAAGAAGTTAAACAGGTGCTCAAATCTATAGGCTACGTAAACCGAACCAAATGTGTTTCTACTAGAAACATTAGATTTTCCTCAGAAGGAAAAGATTCTCCTTTCATATCTTATTATCAATGTGAAGAACAAAATAAATCCATAGTAACAGATAATAATGACATTTGGTCAAATACTCCCCTAAGAAAAAATAAGCACTCTAATGAAAAATAATAAACTAGAATAAAAGTTTAGGCCCAAATGTTACCTAACAGTAATTAAATGAGCAAAAGTATTCACCACCATTATAATTAACAGTATTTATAATAAATATATAGTTTCCAGTTGAAAACTTTACTTTAAAACTATAACAATTTGGCATAATTTAGAGAAAATCTGTGAATCAATATGTAGATATTTTACTGAGAGCAAAAATAACATCTGGATCAATCACATTTTCACGAATTAAAAAGAAAATAGTGCCATATAAATAGTAAAATAGGTTTTAGAGTTTCAATGATAATATCAGAACTACCCAAGTTTTTGGTGTCCTATGTCTATAGAGACATGATATTTAATAACTATTAGCTTAGCCAAAAACTGGTATATAATCTATCTTGATACTCTGAATATATATAACCACTTGATTTTTATGCCATGTTATTTTTCCATTGTTAGCGTATGAGCTTCTGTTGGTAACTGCTGTTTTGTTGATTTCAGATGATCAGGTGTGGTTATAATTAAAAAATAAAGCACATCTGCAGGGTATTTTGACAGGTGACTGTCACTTATCATTGTCATGCTCAACAATAGTCTCTATGTACAGAGACAAGAAACCTGGCAAACTAAGCCTCCAGCTCGAAATCTGCTGTTTGACCTTGGCACAACCGTTCAATGTCTCATGGTCTCAGTATCTGCAGGATCAGAGAGATCTACATGTGATTTCTTGAACTGCTAAGTTTTTATGGTCTCTCTGTTGCACACCTCTTCCCCCTTTTTTGTTTTGTCTTGTTGTTTTTGCCTGAAATTCTTCACCTCCTTTCCTACTTCTTCTCCCAGTTACCTGGCGATTGCCTACTTTCTTCCTTAATCCTTCTATGACCAAACTTTTGTTAGTATCGTCTTAGCTTAGTATCATCATAGCCCCATGCCTATGTCCATCATATTGCTTTCTGACTATATTTTATTTAACTCCTTATATGTTTGACATTATGCCTCACTAGAATGCAGATTTCTTGATGTGTCTTATATATTCTTTTGTACCCAGTACCTTGCACGGTGTCTGGAATACAGAAAACACTCTATAAACATTTGTTGAATCAATGAATGGCATAATCCTATATAATAAAAACCTAATATGCTATGTCCGACTGTTTGTTCCACTGTTCAACCAGTCGCTATGATGTGCACTGACCACTAGAGGGCAGATGCTCTGACCGGTAGGTTAGCTTGCTGCTGGGGTCCAGCCAATGGGGACTGGAGAAAACAGATTAGACACTCCCTGGAGCCCTCCTGCAGTTCCTCCCAGGCCTCTAAAATATTTCTTCTAATCAATTTCCTTTCAATATGCACGAATCTGTGCACTGGGCCTCTAGTGAACTAATAAATGAATATATCCAAACCTCTTTAGGTATTTAAATAAAGAAAGTGATGAAATACAATAAGAAAAACTCAGGATAACATTCTGATTTTTCCAAACTTCTTCAGGGGGAAATATCAAAAGAAAAACTATTAGGTATTTATATGAGTTAGAGTTTTTCCTTGAATTTTTGCTCCTCAGGAGGCCTCGTTATTTAATTATTTTAATTCATGAATATAAGGGTTCTATTTTCTTCTATTACTTGTCCCCAACACTTTCAGCCCCCACAAAA